GCCTGCCCCTCTGCCCCCAGAGTTCGTGGCCATGATGACCGGAGAGTCCTTCAAGTTGGTCCAGTAGGAGCAGCTGCTGTGGCCGCCAGCCCGGGAAGGGCCATGGCCTGCCTGCCCCCCCCTCCACTCGGCTCTGTGTCAAATAAATGCTCAGCTCCCGTCTGAGTCATGTGTGCTTCACTGTCCCAGCCTGGGGGTGCAGGAAAGGTGTGGGCTGGAGAAGGGACAGGGTTTCCCTGGGCCAGACACAGGCACATGACCCCGGGTCACTTCTGCTGTGACACCTGACACCACCCCTCACCCAGCTCTGGGCTCCACATACCAGCCTGAAGGCCAGACAGGGCATGGATCAGGCCACCGCTGGCCCTGCCTGCCTCTCTTGGGGCCTGGGGCCTCTCCGGGGCCTGGGGCCCAGAGCCTTTCCCATGGACGCAGGCTACTTAAATACAAACTTTATTCTCTCTCTAGAAAGGCGCAGGTGTCATAGCTGGCCCCAGCTCCTGAGGCTCAGGCCCGTGGGCCTCTTCCAGGCTGAAAGCCTGTGGGTGGGGAAGAAGGTGGCCAACACGGGGCTAGCTGAGCTGGCCCACGTAACACAGCGTCCAGGCAGGGCTGCAGCAATGTGCTGGATGCAGGTCTTCCCGAGGGAAGCAGAGAGGGGTGGCCTAAAGGCCTCTGACTCCCAGCATGGTGTTCCAAGCTTGGGTCCAAAGGCTCCAGGGGCATTCTGCCCCTTCAAGGGGCACCAGGGATGCAACAGGGCTGCTGGGCTGTGGGGCCCGCCTCCTGAGGCTCAGGGAGAGGGCTGGACTTCCGGGAGGGCGCAGGCTCTTCTCTGGGCTTGGCCATCTTGACGGCCTCATCATAGGACGGCAGGAGCTCAGGGGCATGCAGGCTGTAGGCAGGAGGGGCCGTGAAGTCGAGGTCCAGCTCCCCGAAGGGCAAGGGTAGCCGCATGCCCAGCGGGTACTGCATGGAGCTGTAGGCTGTAGGGAGCCAGAGTGGACTTGTGGGCTTGGGTTCACCCTGCCGCCTCCCTGCACCCGACGGGTGGGCCCCTAGCACTCACAGGTCACCGTGCTGTGCACAGTGCTGTCGCCGTCCACTGGGATGACGGTCAGGTCACAGGGTTGCCGTGCTGGCGGCAGATGCAGTGGGGCCTGGGCCTGCTTCCGGTGGCAGCAGAACTGGACACAGCTGGCTGTGACCCCACAGAGCAGCAGCAGGAGGATGGCGAGCAGGACTAGCCTGGGGGAGCAGGGCCCTGCCACTGGACTGACCCCTGGCCACCGGACACCGGCACCCTGGGAACAGTCACGGCCCAACCACCCAGGACAGGACAGTGAACAGGATAAAAAGAAACCAGAAAGTCTCCCCACACTGGAGACCTCCCTGGCTGAGGAGTGGCCTGTCGGGGCTCCAGCTGCTGGGCCTGTCCTGGATCTCTCCAGGGCTGGCCAGGGGTGGCGTTGGGCTCACTCCCAGGACATGCAGTCCCCAGTCGGCCGCACACTCCTGGGGTCCAGACTGCTAGGGGGTTGCAGGGGCTTCCCACAGAGGCAAGGGAGGAGGAGTGGGAGGAGGCAGGTTGTGGAGGGAAGTCTCGCTGGAGACCACCAGGGCCCCTTGCCTCCCAGCCAGCTGTCTGGGACAGAGGGGGCGGCCAGGTGGGGCGGGGGACCCGGCAGGCACGCCCGGGGACTCCCCCCGCACCGGTCGATCAGCGGCTCCGCAGGGGCTTCTACTCACCCCACGTGCCACAGGCTGCTCCAGCGGGCCTGGGGCGGGCACCTGCGGGGACGGCGGCACCTGGAGCAGGCGGGGCACCCGCCGACCGACCTCGCCGCCCGAGCCTCCCCACACCGCGGGGCCGGGCCCGGCTAGCCGCCCATCCCCGACTTACTGGTCTGAGGGGTCGCAGCTGCCGTCCGAGAAGCCCAGCGCCACCTGTGGGGATAGGAGTGAGCTGGACAGAGCCCGAGCACAGACCCAGGGCCCCCCACCCGAGCCCGACCCCCC